AAAATATTTGACTTTTGGACTTAGAATATTAAATAATATATATAAATAAATGAATAGTATCAAATAACTAATTATTCTCATTACACTTAAATATTTAATTGATCAAAATATATTTTATTTTCCTTTAATAAAATAGTGTATTAACATTAAATAACGCATTATTTATATTAAATAATTTAGTTGACTTAAATCAGTTAAATAAAGTTATTGTATCAAATACTTTTTATTTGTTTCAGTAAAACGAAATATTTGAGTGAAATAAATGAATGAATAGTTTCAAGTAACCCATTATTTGTATTAAATAAATTCATTTATTCAATTCAATTAATTATTTAATTGAACCAAATACTATGTATTTGGTTCAAATAAATGCGATTCAAATAATTCAAGTTATTTGAATCAAATACATATTTTTTTGATCCAAATAAAAAGTATTTGAACCAATTAAATATTTTTCCTTACTATTCATTACACCAAGTGATAAATTCATTATTAAATTAAATATTTTTCAAATAATTTGAAGTATTTGAATCAAATAAATTTTTTTTTCAGTGTATCATTATACAGAACCTAAACTTTTTTTAATACTTATTTGAGAAAGGTGATTCTTAATAAATTTCGAATACAAGTTTAAGAAAATTATCATACTGTTTAAAACACTTTGTAAAATTTCACATGCGTCAGTATTAAAATATTTTTCAGACTTTTTCTTTCCGTGCATGGAGATTTTTTGTGATTAATTTGTGGTAACTTATTTAGTATTATAATAATTTTAAAACGGTGGTAAGTTGTACTCTTTGGGCGTTTGGAGAGATAGATTTTTAACATCAATAACTTCGTAATATTTTTCAATAAAAGGTTCAATAATAGATCAATTGAGTCGTTTTTAAATATTCTCCAAGTTGTTCATAATATTTTTATAGATACATAAAGACTTTTTAATAGATAATGCAAAAAAGCTAAATCTTTTTAAATTATAAATTTCAAAATGTTAATAACTCTGGATAAAATATCAGTAGGATATTCGCTAATAGGTCAAAAGATGCGTCTTGAAAAACTTTACAAAACTAGAGATAAATATCTATTGGCGTCAATACATTTTTTTAAGTTATGGTCAAAAAACGTTTTTCTCTAATTTTTAAAAATTCAATAACTTAAGATAAAATAACAGTAGAATGTTCGCTAATAGCTCAAAAGATGCGTCTTAAAAAACTCTACAAAATTAAAGAAAAATATTTATAGGTGTCCTAACATTTTTTTAAAGTTATGGGCAAAAAAAGTTTAAAAAATAATTTTTAAATACAAAAAAATAATAGTTAATCTTTATTAATATGGCTCAAAGTACTCTTATTATTTGTCCGCCAGTGAGACCTACAATTTAAAAAAAAATTATCCCTTTAGCTCTTATAGTTTTCGAGATATTTAAGAAAATTTAGTGTATATACAATATACACACACACACATACACACACACGGAACGACATTTTTAAAAAATGTCATTTTTGGATTCCTGAGGTCGAAAAACATAAAAATAGATCAAAAAATCAAGTTCGAAAAATGTCGGTATTACACTGCTTCCTCCATGAGGAAGCAAAAGCATTACTAAATATTCACAAATATAATGTTATCTCAAATTTCATAAAAATATCAATTATGCGCGTTTTTGGGGGCTCTGATTATGAATTTGAAGTCAGTTTTTAAATTTTTAAAATGGCGGATCTTTGATGTTTTTTAACAATGTGAAAAGTTATCTAAGTTTTATATTAAATGAGCACCTGGATATAATAACTCGCGCTAAGCTCGACTGTACGCTCTCAAGCAAGTCAAACCTATAAAAAGGGTAAGGAAATTCAAAATTTTGAATTTTGAAATGTACTACCTTGTAGGAAATAAAGGCGCATCTTTTTTTCCTTTAACATTTTTTGGAAAAACGAATATTTTAAATAATAAATACCAAAAACTAAGAAATCTTGATCCACAAATTTCATTAAGTTTTAAAACATAAATCATCGTATCTTTTACAATTATTAACGGATTTGATTAAAAATTGGTATATATATTATATAGTAATAAACAAATGTCTCACTGGAAGTTATCTCAACTGTAAACTTCCCGGCAGACTTTTTGTCGACGAATGTAAGAAAACATGATTTTCGACAGGTCTCTATTTATATTAAAAAATTAATAAACAATTAGTGATTTTTTAATTTTTCATTATATTGTCGTCTTCAGTAGACCTAAGAGCGTGTGTATACCAATTTTTAATGAAATCCGTTAATAATTGTAGAAGATACGATGATTTATGTTTTAAAACTTAATGAAATTTGTGAAACAAGATTTCTTAGTTTTTGGTATTTATTATTTAAAATATTCGTTTTTCTAAAAAATGTTAAAGGAAAAAAAGATGCGCCTTTTTATTTCTTACAAGGTAGTACTGTTCAAAATTTTGAATTTGAATTTTCTTACCCTTTTTGTATAGATTTGACTGGCTTGAGAGCATACTGTCGAGCGTAGCGCGAGTTTTTTTTTATCATTTTATAAAGACGGTTGATTGGTCAAAATCATGGAAGACATTATCGAATACTTTATTTTAAAAAGTAACCAATTTCGTTAAATTATTAATGTAATAATAAATAAAAAAAATAATTTTATTTCGACTAATTAGTTTTGCAATTTTTTAATTAAACTCACTGGAAGGCGGAAGAATAATTATGATTTTATACGATTTATTTTGCCGGATTCATAACTTTTTAAATTATTTTTTAAAAAGTTTATACTTGATTTCTTAAATATTTTTATGCATTTCTTAGTTAAATAATTCGTTTAATTATTGATATTATTAATTATAAATTATGTAAATGTATTCCAGTACTTTCCATGAGACGACTCCAACTTAAATAAGTTGAAAACTGTAATGAAAATCCGGATGTTTAAAACTTAAATTAATTAAAATTGGAATAAATTAAAATTCAGATTATATGAAACTTAAATCAATTAAAATTTAGATAAACAATTGTAAACTTAAGTCAATAAAAATTTAGACAAATTGAAATTCTGATAATTAAAAATTTTAAATCAATTTTGGATAAATTAATATGAGGATTTTTTGGAAATTCAATCGATTAATCTTTAGATAGATTGAATTTTTTTAAAATTTTAAGTGTCGATCAATAAATTCTTCAACTAATTTAAATTTAAATTTATTGAAACTTGTCCTAATTAGTTTTTAAAAATCTATAAAAATGTTTGATATATTCAAGAATCGGTCAGTTGAATCATTTATAGAAAATATGAAAATCTGTAATTTTGTTTTTTCTAAATTAATATAAGTTCAGGAATACAGGGTGTCTAACAATTTTAAAACACAGTGGTACACCATTATTCAACTTTGAATTTTTTGTTTATTGCGTCTAACTTTTTTGATTTTAAAGAATAACACAGCCACACAAAAAAAAAAAAAGTTCTGATCTGGGGGTCTGACTATATATTTTCTATGTCTTTTGGGTCGCTGAATCCGAATCCGAGGCCCATTCAACCCCATCACATCAGGTTTTTGAAAAAACCTCAAAAAACCAAAATGGCGGACACTTTTTTGGAAAATTTATCGGATTCGCTTAAAACTCGCTACTCGGGGGTTTTTGGGGTCGCTGATTACAAATTTAAAGTCAGTTTTCAAAAATTCAAAATGGCGGATCCAATATGGCGGACATTTTTTTGAAAAATTTGCCGGATTTGCTTGAAACTCGCTACTCGGGGGTTTTTGGGGTCTCTGATTACGAATTTGAAGTCAGTTTTCAAAAATTCAAAATGGCGGATCCAATATGGCGGATATTTGTTTGAAAAATGCTGGATTTGCTTGAAACTTGCTACTCGGGGGTTTTTGGGGGCGCTGATTACGAATTTGAAGTCAGTTTAAATTTATCATATCAGGATTCGGACATAATCTAAAAAAACCTACAATTTGTGCTATTAAACGCGCGTAATATCTTTAGTTTCAATGTTTATGTTATCACGTCTATTTTACTATATAATGTACCGTCGGCATTTGCGTTACCCAATGTACACCACGTGGAGGTGCCCTGGACGCAGGCACACGCAAGATACAAAGTAAATACGGGTGAATTAAAACACTCAAGTTTTTGATTTCTCAAAAGAACATCTTTATTGGATTCGCCATTTTAAATTTTGTAAATTGGACTTCAAATTCGTAATCAGCGACTTCAAAAACCCTCATGTAACGAGTTTCAAGCGAATCTAATAAAGTTGACAAAAAATCCTGCCATAATGGATCCGCCATTTTGAATTTTTGAAAACTGACTTCAAATTCGTAATCAGAGACCCCAAAAACCCCCGAGTAGCGAGTTTCAAGCAAATCCGGCAAATTTTTCAAAAAAATGTCCGCCATATTGGATCCGCCATTTTGAATTTTTGAAAACTGACTTCAAATTCGTAATCAGCGACCCCAAAAACCCCCGAGTAGCGAGTTTCAAGCGAATCCGATAAATTTTCCAAAAAAGTGTCCGCCATTTTGGTTTTTTGAGGTTTTTTCAAAAACCTGATGTGATGGGGTTGAATGGGCCTCGGATTCGGATTCAGCGACCCAAAAGACATAGAAAATATATAGTCAGACCCCCAGATCAGAACTTTTTTTTTTTTTGTGTGGCTGTGTAACCTTTGGGGTATTTTTTTTATTTTAATTTAAAAAATTTTCGATTCCAAACTATAGTATTCAATATTTATTAATTTTAGAGGAAAAAAATCTTAAATGTCAAAAACCTTGAATTTTTAAAAATGTTAATTTCTGTTATTTTTTTTTATTAATATTCTAATTTTTTAGAGTAAAAAATAGTCAAAAAATTATTAACAAAAAAAACCCTATGTACTTTTTTAGAGATTGTTATCTTCGAGCTGTATACAAATTGTTAAGTGAATCGATAGTAAGAAAAACTTTTAATATATATATATATATATGATGGAGAAATAAATAAAAATGCAGAGAATGGTTTAAAAGAAAAATTTTTAATTTACTAAAATGGTAACTAATATAGAAAACATATTTTGACATTTTTAATTTTCTTAAGAATAACTGTACAATTATAAAAAAAAATTTACAGCCTAAACTCCAATAATAATATTATTATCACTAATTTCGCATGATATCTAATACAAAAACTGTATTTAAAACAATACAATTTAAAAGCATAAATTGAAAAATTTAAACTTAACGAATAATACACTAGAACCTCACAACTTTAGACAAAATTTTGATGGCGGAGCAGATATAATAGAAGAAGGGGGAGAGAGTCAGGAGCGTAACATTAAGTTTTTCATTCAATTTTTCTTTACTTTTTACAAAATATATAATTTTCCGTCGACATTCGCTACTTTACTTTACACATACATTGATATTTTAGGGGTTCCAATGTAATCTAAACATTCTTTTCCTTCGCTAACAAAATACAGAATTATCTCATTGCACATAATTTTCTTTTGCCGAATAAAAGTAAAATGAAAAAAAATGTCGCAAGTGCTTTGATATTAAAACACTAAAAAAAAATGAAATAAACTTTTAAAAAATAAAACTCATTAATTTTTTTTTCATTATAAAAAAATAAAAATTCCATATTTTCAGATGATAATTCTTTAAAAAGAGATAAATAAAAAAGAACAAACTAAAAAATTAACACTATTACTTTGGTGTTTTTTGCTTCGAGATACAATGCGTTCGTAATTATAAATACTACAAATGCAAAAAATAATTTTTTTTTTAAATTACTGTTTACATCTTTTAAAAAAAAGAATTTTAATAATTTTTCAGAAAAAATACAAACTTTAGACGTTTTTTTAAACCTTCAAACTGCTAAGTGGTAAAAATAACACGTTTATCGCTTTCTCGGTCTAACAGACCGGAAAAGCTGTTTCACATTGTTAGATATTTTTAGTTATAAATATTTAATGATCAATGTTGTATAACATTTTACTATTTTCTATTAAATTTTTCAGGTTAAGTGTAACTTAAAAAAAATAAATAAAAAATATATATAGAAAGCTTTCTGAGATCTTTATAGCAGTTTAAAAGTTTATAACGTTTAAAGAATGAATTAAAATTTTTTTTTTTAAATTAATTATTCTCTTCTTTGATTAATGAAGGAGGTGATGTGATGGTTATACCCAGTTTCATTAGTGCTTTTTTTAAATGATAATTAAGTTTCGAAGAATTCTTTTGATTTGTTATTCCATTTTTCAAGTTATTATTGTTTTTATTATTATTAGGTTCACAAAGAGAGCTTGAATTTGCATTACATTTCTGTATATATTTCAAAACTGCAGCTCTTAAAAACTCTTCCAATTGCGGCTGTGAATGTCCTGCATCATTATTTTCATCATCATCATCATCATCGTCATCAATAATGATGACATCCTCGTCTTCCTTCATTTTATTACCAACATTTTCAATAGCCAATGAAAATGTCACCTCCGATGATTCCAGGCAATCGTTGACATTATCCAATTCCGTGATATCGATAAAATTATTATCCCCCGCCTCCAAACGTTGTTTCACCTTTTCCAAATCTTCAAAACTTCTGCAGCCAATTCGCATTCCATCTAAATCATCATCAGATATCTCCGAATGATCATGTAGGTTAAGATCTTGATTTTTCTCCATTAGAATTTGTTGATTGGTTTCTGAATTATTGTTAACACTTTGAGAAAATGTTTCAACGATTCTAGGATAATTTAAAAGTACCTCAATATTTGCCAATTGATTAGAAATCATTTCTGAATTTTCTGATGGTGTTGAAATTGTTTCTGCCTGCCATAAATTATCTTGAATTGGAGGTGAATACTGTTGAGTGGTTTTTAATTTCTTTAGTTTTATGCCGACAATCTTTTTGTCCTTAGAACTTTTTCTGGTAGGTTTTCCTTCCTGTAAGTGTCTTCGGGTGGTTTCGTCTTCTTTTGAGTCTTTGCGGGTGGTTCGGGCGTCCTTTGATTCATTATGGGTGATTGCGGTGTCCTTTAAGTTTTTTCGGTTGGTGTCGGCATCTCTCGAGCTTTTTCGTTTAGTTCCGGTGTTCTTCGAGCGTCTTCGGATGGTTTCGGACTCCTTTGAGTCTCTTCGGCTATTTTCGGCATCCTTCGAGCATCTTCGATTACTTTCATCATTTTCCGTTCCCTTTGAATATCGCTGACTAGTCTCAATTTTTTTGGTATTTTTACGACCACATTCAGCCTCGGAAATTTCTTTTAATATTTCCGCCACTTCGTTCACTAATTTTATCACGTTCTCCGTTTTTTTTGTTCCACTTTTTCGAGACGCTTCCCGTTCCTTTTGATCACTTTGGCTAATTTCCAATTCCGAACTCTTTCGGACTGTTTTCGCTTGACTTACATCTGTCTGAATCATTTCTGTCTCGTGTCTTCTCTTTCTACTGGATTCTTCTTGATTAATAAGACTCCTTTGATTGTTTTCCAAATCTTTTTCGACGACGTTTGGATTGGTCTCTATCCTCTCGAGAGATTGACAAAAATCTTCTAAATTAACAAATCCATCCGTCATTCCGAATTCAGTGTATATATCTGCCATATCCATATCCTCGCAGGTCTTGCCCAATGCTTCTAGATCCTCTGGAGTGATATCATCTAAATCTGCAAGTTTATTGTCAAGCGTATCGTCTCCGGCATCATTTGGCATTACTACCGTTTCCGCGTCTTCAATATCACTATCCAAATTTTTTGGAGGCTTCACATCCTCGTAAAACTCACTGAGGTCCACTTCTACATCACTGACATAAACCACTGTATTTTCCGAGTCACTAGCTGATCCGGAATTTAAATCCCAAGTCGCATCCGAATCACAGTCTTCGATGATTAAAGCATTATCAGGAATTGAATCAGAAGAAGCAGTTAAACTAGTTGAGTCCGTATTTCGTTCTTTGTAGACGCGGCCATTTTTGAATTTTGCATTCTGATCCAAAGAATTGATATCACACAAAGCCACCGACAGTGGTACGGAAAGTTTAGCCAGTAAATTTTGATTAACACTCTTTGAGGGTTTCACAGGTGGACAATGAGTATAACTAACTTGCAAGGGTTGGGAATCACTTGAACTGACAGCAGGAATTGACTTAGATCCTCGTTCGGGTGTCAGAAGAAATTTTTTACTGATTGTATTATCACAAAATGTCTCTTTACCCATTTTCAACTTAATTCGAACCAATTTATCGTCTGATTTTCGCTTAAGATATTTGTGCTTCTTCTTCATGTGTTTACGGGTATCAGTGACACATTTGAATTCACGTTTGCAAATTGAACATTTACTACCAAGAATCATGACTGAGCAGGATCTAATTCGAATTTGTTTCTTGGTCAATCCTAATTGAAGATATTCCAAAAAGTCCGCCTGTGTTATGCTAAATGGACTCGAGGGTACTCCACTGTCAGCATCATCATCATCATCATCATCATCATCATCGTGGTAGTTTAACCCTTTACGGGACAGCATGATGAGCTTTTTGAATTCTGTAACGTTAAAAATCAACTCAATTGTCAATCGTCTTGCTGTAAATAAGGATCAGAAGCATCACTAATGCAAAGAAAGAGGGCACTGCTCCATATATTTTCCATTATTTTGTCAATTACATTTATTACAAACAAATTATTACTAGGGTAAATGCACTAATTACGGCGCGATTCGAGTCAAAACACCTTTGAAATCGAAAATTCGACATTTCTATTGTATAAAGTCAATTTAAGACTTATTGAACTTAAAGGTTATGTTATTTAGATAATAAAAAAATTTTTAAACTATTACGGCACGTTTGTATCATTTTCGGTAACAAAAATTACGTGTATTTTGAAGATACTTTGTCCACTGTAATTGGAACCAATGGAAATCTTAAAAATGTTTCAATTACGTCGAGGGAAAAAATTTGATCTCAAATAATTAAATTAATAATTGTTTAAATGTGCATCTTTATTAGTAATTGTATCAAAAAAGATTACAATAATTTTTTAAAATAATTTTATAACAGTTATATTAAATATAATAGTAATAATAGTTATTTTTTATGAACGCGCCATACTTGATGCACTTACCCTATTCAACTTTTTAAAATCCAATTCACAAATTTAAGCGCCATCTTTCTTTACATGATGATAGACGAAAAAAAAGTTAATAATTTAACATAAATTTAGAATACATTATAAACAATTTCAAGTACATTACGATTTAATCTTCTATTCCACTGACTAAAATGTCAGCAGAAAATTTTGTAGATTTGTTTATTAGAGCCATATATATATATACATTACCGTAGGAATTTGTCGGTACGGCTATCAGTAGTGTTATGGTGTAAATTTCAGATTTTCTCTAAAATTTTTCTAGATTATGCTAATAGTCAAACTTATTATACGAAAAACAAAAATTTCTGAATAGTTTTCCAAATTTGTCATAAGTGATACAATTTTTATGAAATTTATCATGGTTTTTGGTGTGTTTTTGCATAGTACTACTAGCCGTACCGACAATTTCAGACGGTACTGTATTTGTATAGATTATTAAATTTATTAAATTATTAAAAATATAAAAGGAAGAATACAATATTAGTTAGTATAGTGCGATAATTAATAGATTGTTAGTCATGCAACGTGAATGTGTGTAAGTTTAGAATGTTTATTTTGTGATCGCAGAAAGCTGAAGCAAATATTCCCCCATTTCATATTTCGTTCACTAAGAAATTAGTTGCAGTCGAGGAGCCACTGATTTTCGAATTTTGTTAACACTCTGATTTGTGCGCAAAACCAAATAACTGATGTGACATTGAAAACAAAACTTGCTAATAACGAATTTTCTTTTTTACAATATATAATATAAGAAAAGAGTCATATTTACAGTGCAAGCAACATTTGCAAAAGAAATTAATTGTATCAATTCAAGATGGCTGATTAAACATGTCGTTTAGAGTATTTTTCAAAACTGTTTATCACTATTCCAATTTTTTAAACACTTCTCAGTAGGGTGAGAAAATTTATTTTTGACCAAAAAGACAGTTGAATCTAATTTTTTTATGGGAATTAAAAAATTCAAAATGGCAAATTCGATATGATGGACAAATTATTTAACACGGAGAGAAATAGATGGTACGAGGTACTATCTAGATAGTATCAGGTACCATATTTGATCTTACATATACGGACAGCTATCTAGATTCTATCAGTTACTTTCCAGATTGTACGGAGTAACATCTTGATTGTAGTGGGTAACATAACCATACTTTTTGTAACATCTTTGATAGATATTCAATATTCTGCATATTAGCTATAGATAAGATAATCCTAATATTATTCAGAATAGTTAATCTAGATGTTATATAGGTAAGATAATCTAGATATTTTTAAGATAAGATGATCTAGATAACGTCTAAATAAGATAATCTAGAATACATGTAGATCAAATAACCTGCATGATATCTAGATAAGATAATCTGAATACTATCTAGATAAAATAATTTGGATACTATCTAGACGAGATAATATGCATACTACCTAGATAATGTAATCTGGGTACTACCTAGATAAGATAATTTGGATAAGACATGTAATGAAGTTAGTCGACGTAGGTGTAATATAATATATAATTCCATTTCCATTCCTACTTTTTCTAATTTTCATTTTCACTTCCACTTTTTCTAATTTTCCCAATGGAACTGAAAATAAACATTTGAAAAAGTGGAAGTGGAAGTGGGAGTGAAAATTAAAAAAGGTGGAAGTGTAAATAGAAATGATAATGAAAATTAGAAAAAGTCGCAGTGGGAATGAAAATTACAAAAACTGGAAATGGAAATGGAATTACATAATCGACCCCATTTAATCGAATTTCTGCATATATGTAAATTCATTTAACTAAACTTCTATTGAACAAAATTATTATAATTATCATTAAAAAAAATTTTAATATTGAAATTTAATTGAAAAATGTACATTTTTGGAATTTAGGAAAAAAGAAAGTTGTTTTAGTCAAATTTTAAAAAATACGTTTATTAATGGAAGGCATCACCCCTACTTTTAACCCACTTAAATTTAAATTATTAAACGTTACGTTTTTAATCTAGATAATGCAATCTTGATCATCCAGATAATATACCAAGAAATATTTTAATTTATTTTTAAAAATAAAATAACCGAAATATAAAATTTTTGAGAAGATTTCATTTAATAGAGCAACCACGAAACTCCTAGACTCGGACTTTTGGGTATTATTATAAATTCAAATACTGAATAAAATATACAAAGTTAGACATTATAAGTAGAGGGAAATTAAAACGTAGTACACGCAAATATGCGTCATATATATAATTAGGGAGAACATTGTTATCACGAACATGTGTCGTTGTTACTCGAGGGGTTAAAGTCCTTCATACGAAGATAATAAAAAAATCATACGTCTTCGTTTTACGCCCTACGATGCATACGTGAGAAAAATCAATTAAATTGGCGCCGAACATGTGATAACTTTAAAAAATTTTCACTTCAATGTTCTTTTGAAAAAAATTACACGATTTAAATAAGGATGGAGACTCTAACATAACCTCAAAACTAGAAAATGGTTTTTAACGCAAAACAAAAATTTAATAAACAAGTTGTTCATTTCATGACCATTTAGCTTTCTCGTCATCGATAAACAACACTTATATTATTGTTAGTTTAAAAAAAATTTTAAATTACAATTTTTTGATAAAAATAAAAATAGCGATCATGTTTAAAAATATTGGTAAAATGTAAACATTATATACATCAATCGATTTGTTTTAATGCCAGGAATACACTCTCTAAATCTGAATTAGTAAAAATGTTTACTAATTTGAATTAGTGACTCACTTTTTGCTCCTAAATTAGTAAAATTTTACGTTAGTAAGTTTCACTAACAATTAGTAAAATTTAACTAATTCTAAAACAAAAAGTGAGTCACTAATTTAAATTAGTAAACATTTTTACTAATTCAGATTTAGAGAGCAATTTTGACGAGAACTCGAACGAGAATTAATTAAAATTTCTATATATAGGAAAAAGTTATTTCAAAAGATACAAAAAATAATTTTTTCAAATAAATTCTAAAAAATCATTTAATTTATAGATTTCAGTAAAATATGAACTTTATATAGGATGTATTCCACGCCAAAGTGTAAGTCCAACTGCAATTGCGTCTCCGATTTTTTTGAGATATTTTTTTTCTTTTAGTACTAATTGAGACTAGCTTCTATGAATTTTTTCAAATTTTTTTAGCAAGCCGTTTTCGAGTTATGGAATTTTGAAAACTGTAGAATTTTCATGACTTTTAATTTTTGAATACTCATAACTTTCTTAAAAATGCATCAATTTTAAAAGTCTTTTTTTTCAAAATATGTGTTTTTAAACGTACTTATCAAAAAAAAAATCGAAAATTTTTTTTAAACGATATTACTATCAAATTTTTAAGTTTTAATGATAAAAAGTCATTTTTCGCATTTGACGAATTGATCGATTTTTTTAAAAATTTTTTCAAAAAAACTACTTCTTTTTACGAAACTTTTAAGCCTAGCCCGATAATGGGCAAACGATTTTTACAATATTTTCGGAATTATTTAAAAATTTTTTAATTTTGAATTTTTACAAAATATTTTTGGTTTTTTTTAATAATACGTACTTTTATGTATTTTGATGCGCTAATTACGAAAATCATAGTGACAATACCCAAAAATTTGATTTTTATGGTGAAACCATAAAAAAGTCCCAAAATTTATGGTTTTTTTCGTTTATTGGGTAAAATATGCAAAATTAAAAAAAATGCATCAAATATAAAAAAATGTATTTTAATAAGATCTATAACTTTTGTTCAAAAGTTTTTTTTTTTAATTTTGCATATTTTACCCAATAAACGAAAAAAATCATAAATTTTGCGACTTTTTTTTATGGTTTTCACCATAAAAATCAAATTTTTGGGTATTGTCACTATGATTTTCGTAATTAGCGCATCAAAATACATAAAAGTACGTATTTTAAAAAAAAACCAAAAATATTTTGTAAAAAATTCAAAATTCAAAAATTTTTGAAAAATTCCGAAAATATTGTAAAAATCCTTTGCCCATTATCGGGGTATGCTTAAAAGTTTCGTAATAAGAAGTAGTTTTTTTGAAAAAATTTTGAAAAAAATCGATCAGTAATCGATTTGTTTTAATTCAAGAAATATGTTTTTTTACCAAAAAAAATTAAATTTACAATGAAAAAAATTTTCAAATTTTAAAAAAATTGTAAAATGAAAATGTGGATATCGTAAATTTTTGTGTCAGATTTTAGGTATTAACAGAGTGTCTAACAAGGATTGAGAAAAAAATTCCCTGACTCCTCCCTGACATTTTTTGATTTTTCTCTGACTTTTTAATAATCTTATTTTTGCTTCCTTTGGAAAAAAATATGGTTACTGATATATTTAACAATAAATTAATTTCTAATGGTAGTAACAAATGGTAATAAAAACCATTCATGTTTTTTTTAGATTAAAAAATTTTTAAATTCACAAAAAATTTTAATTTTTGTAGAAATTTACATAAATTTCCCTGACTTTGAATGAAATTTTCTGAAATTCCCTGAAATTTCCCCGAGGGGGAATTTACTCAGGTAGTCAAGTGTTCACTCTTCCTGTAATATTTATGTAATAACGTGTAATAATGCGTTATTACAGTGCTGTAATAACACAAAAAACTCTGTAATATCTCTGTAATACTCTGTAATAACGTGTAATACTTAGTAATAAGGGTAATATGAGGTGTAATACCGGTAGTCAAGTGTACACGTTTTTAACTAGTAAATTCCCCCTCGAATTTCCCTGACCAACAAAATTTCCTGACTTTTCCCTGACCGTTAGACACCCTGATTAATGACTACACTAAGCCAACAAATGTTACTGACTAAAATAAGGTATTGTTTATAAAAATTGGATAAAAATTACGATTTTCGTCTGTTTTGAAAGAAACAAGTCAAAACGTTATAAAAATAATTATTTATTTAACAAAAAATTTTAACTCTTTTTTTTCCGAAAACTGTGTAACCAAGATTTTCAAAAATTGGTTGAAATTAATTTTTATTAAATTTTTTGTTTACGTTAAAAACCACTTTTCAGTTTTGAGTTTATATTAGAGCCTCCATACTCAAAAAAGTTCACTGTGCAAAAAAAATTACTATTTTCTCGTTATATTTTTATTTTTAAAACAAAATTTTACTTCCGGTAAATTAAAAAAAAAAAATTTGAACATTTTTTGTTTGGTAGAAATTTGAGAAAAAAAATTCTAAATTAATTAATTAGTAAATTGACTCAATTAAAATGTAAAAATATTTAATAATTTCGTGACGTTATCGTCCTACATGCGGCACTGTTTTATAAAATTCAACGAGAAAAGTTTTCAAAAAAGAAAAAAAATCTCAAAATTTTCACTTTTGAAAACCGTTATTTCACTAATTTTAATTCAAAAAGTCACAGAAATATCACTTCTTTTAGTCACATGTATTTAATTTATACTCGAAAAAAAAATCAGAAAAACATTATACCGCGTAGTACCTTATTCACATTGAAAGCACAAAAAAAGCTGACATCAAAAATAAAAAATACAAATTTACAAAGATAAAATAAAGAATAAAAAATAAACAAAAAGAACACTGAGCTTTTAAGATAATGTCCTTACGTCATATTTTCGTCTGCAATTTCAATTCCATACGAAGTAATAAACTGTAGAAATTTTTAAAAACCGGGTAATCAATCAATAAAATTGGGACTTTAAACCCCCCTTTCGCGCTTTTATTTCTCATCACAAAATGTAAATTTAAAGTTAAAAAAAAAAAAATTAGGTATATATTCTTAAACTTACAGCACTTCACTTTCTTTTTTCTATGTCACACTTTACGCGCAAATTTTTTGGAAAAATTTTAATACCTCAAGAAAATTTGATAGCGCCAGTAATTTTGGAAAGGAGTTCCGCCATCAGCCAACAAAAAAAGTGTATAGTGTTACAACAAATGTAAAATAAAAAAGGAAGAAATGAGAGAAAGAATGTGCTCGTATGTGGAAATGTTTCAATGTTGACTCAGTGAAATCCAAAACACAAAAGAAGTGCAGCGAGTGTCGATTTTGAATGTAAGAAATCCCCCCACTACACACACACATAGACTTCTGAGAACACGCCGGTTTTTTAAAATAAAATGGGGAAGGAAAAGTTGTCCTTGACCGGCTATTCCGTATCACATAGTTTAACTTTTCATTTGAATAGACTTTGCTGTTAACCGCCAAAAATGATTCTCTTTCACGCGTGCTTTTATTATTTGAAGGAGCGTCTCGTGTAACCCAACTGTACAGTGCGACGGTCAGAACGCAACTGACGAATGCTGGCTGTTGTCTGCTCCGTATTCAACTCGACTATATAGACTCTCTGCAAGCACTGATGAGACTGCTATTCAAATTACAGTGTTGCCGGAATTCGGGTAACAAATTCTCGTAATATACTTTACTTTATATTTATATATGTATGCAGACATAGTATAATATATTTACTTGTACTATATATAGGTGATTTTCTACTTTCGAAATATGTTAATTAAAAAATTTTTTTTTGATTTTTATACACGGAAAGAAAATAAATATCAAATTTTATAAAAGCATTTTCAAATTTTGTAAAAGTATTTTCAAGTTGTAGAAAACATTTTAAAAAGAAAAATTTCCGTATAAGAAATACTAAACTTTAATAAACATTTATGAAATTTAATAAACTTATAATAAAACTTGGTATGTATCATTTAATAATAAATCAAATACATTCTACCAAATTTTATTATAACTATATTAAATTTCATAAAAGTTTATTGAAGACTAGCAAAATTAAACGCGCGCCAAATTGAGTATTTAATTGTTTGTTATAAAGAAATTAAAGATTAATATTAGGTATCAATAATAATTTAATTTATTAGAATATTATTTCATATTAAATGATAATAATGAAAATTATATGTTTACAGGCCTCGGATTATACAACTTTTTCCGACTTTTTTCAAAAATACGACTTTTATCGACTTATTTTAATAAAATGCGACATTTTTTTTACATTTGAAAAAAAATGTAAATAAAATACATTTTTTTAGTATAAAATGAAGATCTTCTTCAGATCTTCTTCAATTCAATTATTTAACAAATTTTGAACTAAAATGATTCTTCACTAAATTAATTATTTTTAATAATTTTAATGAAATACATCACAAATTCAATTATATCAAAATTATTTTTCAATTAAAATTTTTATGAAATTTAACAATTGTTTATAATTTTAAAAAAAATATCACACTAAAATTGAATTATTTTTTAAAAATTTCAATTCAAAATAAACGAAATTCAATTATTACCCGAAATTTTAATTCAAAATCAATTAAAAATCCAATAATTATCAAAAATTTTCAATTTAAAATTTAATTATTTACCAAGTTTTCAATTTAAAATGAAATAAAATTCAATTATTTTCCAAATTTAAAATCAAATAAAATTTCATTAGTCTCAAAAATTTGAATTCAAAATTAATTGAATTTTCAATAATTTGAATTTAAAAGCATCTAAAATTTAAATATTTCGAATTTTTTTTTTTATATTTAATAATTTCAATTATAACTTTAAGGAAATTTAATTATTTTTAACTATTTTAATAATATTCTTGGAAATTTCAACTATCTGAAACCATTTTTCAATTAAAAATGATTTTCAAATTATTGTATTTTGTCCGCATTTTCTAATAAATTTTTAGCGAAATCATCTAAAATTTTAATTACAAAACACTTAAAGTTTCAATTAATTTCAAAAATCTCAATTTTAAATCTTTGATAATTCAATTAGATTTAAAAAATGTTTTCCAAAAATTGTTTGATAAATTATTTTTAGTTCTGTAAAATTTAATAATTGTTTGAAAATTAACAATATCTTTTGAAATTTAATTATTTTTAAAAATTTCAACTTTAACCCTTCGAAAAGGATTATTATTGAAAAAAAATTTTTATTTAAAAATCTGTAAAATATTTTTGTTAAAATAAAAAACAAATCCACTTTTTTTTGGAATATAAATCGACTAAAACGACTTTTTGTGTTTTCAAGTTGATTCGAGGCCTGTGTTTTTATAATTAATATTTAATAGGTATTCGTTGGCCCCTGGTACCTTAAAAATTAATTTTTAAAAATAAATTTTTTTCAAATTACTATCTTGTACAAAATTTCCTGGCGCATCTTTTTTCTCATCATAAATTTTTTGTATTTGTATACAATTTTTGAATCAATATACAACTTTAAAAAAAATTTCGTTGGTAAACGTTGTGTACTTTAGCTTCGTGAATTGAATTTTCGAATTTGGAATTTTAAAGAAACTTATTCCGAAATTTGGAAACACAATTATACAACTTTGGCAAAAATAAGAAAAAGAATTGTCAAAATTTGACAGGTCATAAGATTACTATTCAAAAAAACACGTGAAATCAGAAAATGCCAACTTCAAGTTAGGACAGAAGGACAGACAAGCATTTTATTATTATAATTACTATTTCTTATACGGCAATTTCGCTTTTTACACAATATTCTCCACAACTTGAAAATACTTTTATAAAATTTGATATTTATTTTCTTTCCGTATATAAAGCAACGATATTTTTTATAAGCAATAAATTTTTTCAAACTTTGGCCCGATATTTTTACTTTTTTTATTTTTATACATACCTAATTTGTTTAAATTTTTTTTTTCTTTTCCATTTTTTTATTTTTCAAAATAAATTTTTTTTAACCACTATGATTTTTCACTTTACTCCTAGATAAGGAAAATAAAATGCTTTCTATTTTGAAAAATGAAAAAAAGGCAAAAAAAAATTTTTTTTTAAACAAATTATTTGACCAAAGGGATTATTAGGTCCACTCAAAAACTTGGTAAAATATATTATTAGTATTTCCAAGTACGTACAAATAAAAAAATATCAGACAAGTGCGAGTTACACTCGCACTGAAATCGTGGGTTCCGTACACGAAGCGAACTTATTTGGTATGAAAACAAATGTTTAAAAAATATAAGTTTTGTGTGTCAAATTAATATAAGTGATATAAAAGAAACACTATTGTAAAAAAAATTTAAGAAAATTGTTTCTCTTCGTATCACTTACATTATTAGATATACAAAACATATATTTTTTAAAAATTTGTTTTTATACCAAATAAGTTCGCTTCGTGTATGGAACCCTCGATTTTATTTTCAATTAAAATAAACATTTTCTTTACAAAATATGTGAAAAGCATATCGAATTAAAAAAGGAAGAATAGGAGCAAGAGAAAAAAAACTTAAAAAATTAAATGGATTTCACTGAGAAAAAAAATTTAGTGCTTGCAACAAAATTGTTTGGTTAGGCAATTTTGGTTCTTGTAACAAAATTTTGGATGGCTGAAACAAAGTCGTAGAGTTATCTCAACCAAACATTTGGTTAGGCCAACCAAATTATTTAGCTGAACATTTTTAAATTCCAACCAAAATTTGGTTATACAACAAAATAGTTTGGTCTAAAAAACCAAATGATCGTTTGTTGTCCCAACCAAAATTTGGTTGCGACAACGAAATAATTTGATTCGCTCTCAGCTCATAGCTTAAGAAAACAGTTAGTTTAAATCTCTCACAAGGATGGGTATTCCAGTCGTTAGAGCTCCCAACCTTTAGTTTTAAAATAGAGGTTCGATCCCAGGAGATGAGATTTTTCAAAGTCCACAAATATTTCAATTGGATAAATATAAATTCAATGTCAAATTGATAAGAAATAAATAATGAAATAAATAAATAAAAAAAAAAATAAAAAGAAAAGAAATAAGGCTGAATAAAATTTTTAATTTTACAAAAAAAAAACTAATTGTTTGATCAACCAAACATTTTTGTTATGCCAACAAAAAACAAACAAATTTTTTGGTTGACTCAAACAAATAGTTTGATGCTTAAATACCAACAAAAATTTTTTGTTTGCCCAACCAAATTTTGGTTGCTCTGACTAAACATTTTTCTCAGTGAACAGAGAGACGATTAAAAAAAGTTATGGAAAAGGTCCGCACTTTTTCAAAAAATTTTCTTTTTCAAAAAAACTTAATAAAAAAAACTTCTTATAATGTTTGTAAAATTATTTCTATAATCTACACATGAAAATACGTGAAAATAAAAAATTTGAAGCCCTTTAGATAAAATTTTTTTCGTTATTGGGAGAAAATTTATGATTTTTTCTAAAATTATCAGTTTTTTCTTGACAGCACCAAAAAAATCAACTCCAATCATCCTCGCTATATTTTTTTATAGCATTAACGGGACAAGCCCTTTATATTTATTATATTTTAATTATATTTTTTATTTAATTTTTATTATTTTTTAATTATAATTTAATTACATTTTAATCAAAAATAATCGTGACAAAAATTAATTTTTTTATCAAAGAAAAGGTGAAAAATATTAATTTTGAACGGAAACATTGATGAAAAATATTTATTATTTGATCAAATAAATTTGTAAATAAATTAATTTTTTCATTAAAAATATTGTAAAAAAATCCGGCAGCCCCCGCAGGGGCGACCACATTCTCATCACGCGCTAAGCGCTTTGTTTGTTTATTACAATTCAAAACCTAGTAGCATTAATTACTTTTTAACTACACTGTGTAATTCAAAAATTTTTCAATTACATTCAAAAATTGTATTAATTATACTACCTGAAAGTAGATGAATGACCCAAGAATCCATTTGGTAGAATGAGATTTTGTAGTTGTTTCAGACTTTGTAGTTGATTTATTAGAAGCAACTCATAGTCTTTATTAAAATGCGTTAAATTGAATTATACAAATAGGTAAGTTTTAAAGGTATTAGAATAAATTTTTTATCGAGCAAAAAAAGAGAATGGCGGCACTGCAACTGTTCAAACTTAGTTCCTTAATTTTGCACCGTGGATTGGCCAGGTCTTTGTAATTAACGAAAATCGACAAACCAAATTATTTACTAAAATAAGATATTCCGCTTCGAACTAATTTCAATTGAGTAAAAGAAAAAATTAATTGAAAAATTAAAAATATTTAAAAAAAGAACTTTAATGTAAATGCATTTTTAAAGCAACAAATTTATTATATGAGGTTTTGCCCTTATGTTTTTATTCATAAAAATTTTTTTGTACAATTTATATAAGTGAAATTTTTTGTTTTTAGGGTTCCGTACTCGGTTCGGAACCCTATTAATATCGGTTTTTTTGAAATCGTGTACCCCCCCCCCCTAGCGGCCACATAAATTTATCTGGAGGGCTGAAAATTAGTACACATATGTATTTTCGCGTGTAGATTACAGGAAAATTATAGCGAACTTGATTGGAATTGATTAACATAGCGTTGT